TCTAGATGACTAGTAATTATGCTGGCTCTCAAAAATCCTCTAAGACAGAACATTGGATTAAAAGTCAAAATACTTGGTTTTCATTTTAACTCTATTATTAATCAATTATCTTTCTTTGGGTAAGCCACTTAGGGCTTTCTCATTCATTAAATAGGCTGGTAGACTAGATCTCTAATAATTTCCATCCCAGTTCATAAAATATAATTGTATGACTAACCCAGTTCAATAATTCATTGATTCCATTTTCTAAAATTTATTCTATAATTCTAATTGTCAAGCAAAGTATTAGAAAATGAGATATATTTAACCTACCACTCTAACTAAATTTTTACATTATTTAAAGAATTGTGAGCAAAACGAACTAAAAGCTATTTTCATTTATACATGTAAGTATATATGAGAAAACACTAGGTACATATCAAATATATACAAATGAAAAAGTTACATTTATAGTCATATAATTACCATTTGGATGGAGACTTCCATCTTTCAAAGAGGATTCTAATTTAAAAAGACAAAAGTGAAAAGAAAACCAATTAGAGACTTGGCAATAGTTTCAATAAGAGACAATTAAGTTAAAGGGTCCTAGCAATAAAGATGGAGACAGACAGACTCAAGAGGTAATCTGGAAATAGGACAGAGCAAACTGATTTATGGAACGTGGAGTTGAATGGATGGAGGTATTCACTAAGTTGGAGAAGACTGGATGAGAATCATGTTCAGGAAAAGGTGTAGAAGTCAGTTTTGATCATGCTCATAAGCCATTTTAAACAATCTGTTGGGTCTGTGAACTTGAAGCTCTGTCTAGAGGCCTGGAGAATGATATATTGGGTGTCATCAACATGGAAGTATTATAAAAAGTTGTATGTGAGAGAGCATGCACACACATGTGTACACGCGTGAAAGGAGAAGGGTGATGTTAGGGAAGGGCCCATAGTTGACCATGAAGGAGTTTAAGAATTTAATTTCAAGATAAGAAGGTGTCAGCATTTGGAAGTTAGGGAAGGAACAGATAAAAAAAGGCAAAAGGACAACATTGTGTCACAGAATCACAAAAGGAAAGTACTTGGAGAAGGATATGGTAGTCAACATTCCTGAATACCAAGATTAAAGGGTTTAAGAGTAAACAGCCACTTCAATGTTTATAGCAGCACGATTCACAATTGCTGAAATGTGGAAGCAACCTAGATGCCCTTCAAAAGATGAATGGATAAAGAAACTATGGCATATATTCACAATGAAATATTACTCAGCATTAAAAGAAAATAAAATTATGGCATTTGCAGGTAAATGGATGGAGTTAGAGAATATCATGCCAAGTGAAATAAGCCAATCTCAAAAAACAGGGGTAGAATGTTTTCTCTAAAAAGTGGATGCTAATCCATATGAGAGGTGGGGGTGGGCAGGGAAAAGTGCGGGAACTTTGGAGGGGGCAAAGGGGTAGGAATGACAGTTGAATGAGATGGACATCATTACCCTAGGTACATGCACGGCTGCACCAATGGTGTGATGCTACTTCATGAACAACCAGAGAAGTGAAAAATTCTGCTCCATTTGTGTACAATGTATTGAAGAGCTTTCTACTGTCATGTATAACTTATTTGAACTAATAAATAAAAAATAAAAAAAGAATGGGTCATTGGACCAAAAGCAATTTACATAGAGTAGTAGGGGAAAGCATTGAGCTTGGTTGGAAGCATGGGAAATTAAAGGAAGTAAATAAAAGGATGTGTACTTAGTTGTCTTTTGAGATGCATGCCTAGGAAAGGGGGTAAGAAATTCAGTAAATTAAAAAATAATTGGTTAAAGATGGATGAGATCAGAGCATATGTGAATACCACCGGGGAAAAATTAATTGAAAGAAAGATGACCAACATTAAATAGAAAACATGAATAAAAATGTAAACCACTCCGTGTCACTCCCCTAAGGCATATGTATTCTTTCGTCTATTCTACAGAAGCCTCCTTGAATGACTCCTGTTAGTCTCTGGGATTGTCTTAAAATACTCCACCTGTTCTTGGGTACCTCATATTAACTCTTTCAGGGATTCTACCTTTAGAATCTTTGCACCAATTGACTCCTCTTCCAGGAATTTTCTTCCCTCAATTGAACTGGCTGAACCTTTTCTGTCCTCCAATTCTCAGCTGCTGTGTCCTTTTAAAACATCAGCTGCTTCCAAAACCATCTTCAACTCTTGTTTGGTTCATTTAGCCAAGTCCCTCCTAAACTCCCAGTCTAAATTGGTGAGCCATCCTGTTTATCCTTATCCGACTATTCTGTTAGTTCTTAGCATAGCACTTTTTATCTCACACTGTCTTATTCACATGCTTGTTTATAGGTTTATAGTCTATCAACTTTTTATTTGAAAGCAGTGATCACATTTTCCTGGTTTAATGCCATATCCCCAGAATGTGGATTATGCTTAATTTAGAGTAGGCATTCAATAAAAATGCATTGATAAGTTGAATGTTAAGTTAAATTTATGGAGCAGTCTCTTAGAACACACCTTGAATTAAAAAAGAACATTATGATAAATTTCAATCACATTCAGTCCAAATATGAAGGTAACAGATTACAAGATTGAGCTGAAATAATCTGTTATTTTGAAAATATTCTAGATGATTTATTTTTAGTGGATAGTCTTCATGATTTCATCTCTCTCTCTCTCTCTCTCTCTGTAACTTTTACTATTTTTTTATTTTGAGGATACTAGGGATTGGACCCAAGGGTATTGTGCTACATCCCTGGTCCTTTTTATTTTGAGGCAGATTCTCGCCAAGTTGCTGGCCTTGAGTTTGTGATCCTCCTGCCTCCGCCTCCTGGGTTGCTGGGATTTCAGCTGCACACCACCATATCCATCTTACATTTATTATAATAATCTTAACTCCAACTATAATCCCTCAGGTATAAACTACCTATTAGCAAGAGGAGGAGGCTGTCCAGAAAGTAGCCAATCTAGTATCAAAAATTTACTGGGACAATCCATTTGTTGGAAAAAATCATCAAAACTGTACTTATACTCAGCAACCATATTTTGAGCTATGCAATGTCCTAGGCACATGGAATTAAACTGAATAAAATGCAGTGGACTGATCTGATGCCTAGTTACTTAAAGATGAATGGCTGAATAAAGACACAAAAGTTAACCACACTGTACATTGAAAAGGCTATTCTAGAGAGTGAGCAAAAAATAAAAGGAGTCAGTTTGTTTTTAAATTTCTGAGCCCTGAGATCTGACTCATCTGAATTAAGATACATCCAAATACTTTTCTTCCTCCTGGGGGCAAATCATTTATATGAAGTTCAGTTTCCCTGGTATATAGCACCTTTCCCCAAATCAAGTGCAGGCCTTTCTCACAAAGAAGGGAGAGGGAGAAGGCTATTTTCAAGGCAGTGTTTCTTTCAATGGAGCAATTAAGTTTGGCTGTAACAGAAGGAGGTTGCCATAAGAAAAGAAGCACAGCAAAGACAAGACGGTTTTGCAGTGTCAGCTTATTATTTCTGCAGGAGGCTAAAGATTAGAAAATAGCTCTTCCTGAGTTGTAACAGGTCTATAAAATTGAGCAACTCACAAAGCACCCAAAAGGAATACTAAGAATATAATACAAAAAAACATAGCAATAGAAATTGTGTTGAACTGAATATGACCTTTGAAAGAGAGGGAAGGTTTTGCATATCTAAGAATATCTCATCACAACCCTCTTTGAAAGATTAAAATTATTTCAATATCTTCCCATTTATTTAATGCAAACAGGTATGGATTTCTCTGACAAAACATCACATTTTGTACTTAGGTACTACTATGCAGAGACAGAACATCAAGTTTATATTGGTTGTTTAAAGTCATTCTTAAAGCCCAAATAAAATCAGACTATTAAGATTGGAAATGTTTTCATGCCAGAAAATCTTTATTTCCAAATATTTCTGTGGG